AGATGCAACATCAGAAAAGGAAACAGAAAGAATTTTATGATAAGGGATCTCGGCAACTGATACCTCTTTCTGAGCAAGATGTGGTTAGAGTTGAGGAGCCAACAGGATGGCAAAAGAAAGCTGTTGTTCTAAAAGAAGTAAATCCAAGGTCATATCTTATTCAAACAGAGGATGGGCAAGTGCTAAGGAGAAATCGGAGGAGTTTGTTGAAGTCTGCAGAAATCTGTAAGTCAAATATAGAACTGTCTCCTTTGGATGGGCTAACTTCTCATGAAGTTGAGAAATCTTCTCCAGAAATGCCCTCTGTGTCTCTTCCTGTTGCTGAGTCTCCTTCTGAGGGTCAGCTCTTTGAACAGTCCCCTGAACTGGTTTCATCTGTACCAAAGACTGACAATCCAATCTTACGAAGATCTAATCGTGTTAGAAAACCACCTGTTAGACTGGGCTTGTAAAAAAAAAAAATGAAAGAAAAGTTAAATAATCTTGGTATTGAAAAATGAGTGTGTTGTAAATGGTCAAATGGAGCAATTGAGTGTTTTGGTGTTGGACTAGTGTTTAGTGTGAACTGTTTAGTAGGTAATGTTACTTATTCAAGGAAAATGGATGTAATGTTATTTATTTAAGGAAAAGGGATGTAATGAGTGGGATGTTTAGTCCACTAGGAGGCAGTAATGGATTGTATAAAGTCAGGTGCATTTGCTAAGGAGTGGTGTGGTAATTAGTGATGGGAAGTTCGGATCATTTTACCGACTCGGACCTTTGAGTCTCGTTCAGCAAAATGAACGAATCTTTTTTCGAGTCATTTCGTTCATTTTAACAAAATATAATTAAAATGTTACGTGTTACTTCCCTAATATGTCTACTACTTACGCAAACGTTGATCACACTACAAACAATACAAAACTGCTATAAGAAACCGAAAAGATTAATTCATTGTTTACCTGAGTCTTCAGTCTATGATTAGCTCACCACCTCTTATCTGACAAGTCTTCGGGTTTGGGCTTATGGGGCTGTCACGTGATGAACGATCGACTCGAAAAACCCGAAGACTCGAGAGATGAACTAATCAATTCTCTTTCCGGCTCAGACTGCATAGGGTAAACTTATGGGGCTGTCACGTGATGAACGAACGACTCTGAAAAACCCGAAGACTGTGGTGAACCAGGTGAACTACTTGACTAATTCCAGTACAGAACCTACAGGATGTTGCGCATGCGCGACTGAATGAATCACTTCCCGAGACGACTCGTTCTTCCCGAGTCACATTAAAGATTCATTCAAAACGAACGAATTGTTCAAGAACGACCCACCACTAGTGGTAATTTGTATATGATGAATGTTCCATGTGGAATAAAGAGGCCAGCACCAGTACCAGTAATACCTCTTTATATTGGTTTCTTGTCTGGTTATTGAATAATACAGTCGTTACTTAAAAAAAAAAAAACTTACATTTATCGAACAAAAAATGCTCCCCACGACCCCCCACCACTTTTTGCAACATCTCGCGGCACGCACGGATGTACTTAAAGAAACATCTCCATTTGATAACAAATTCGTTGGTCTGTGTTAAATAACAGGCTGGAATGTGTTATGGCGAGCGCACGTTGCTGCTGTTATCGGTTCTCTCTTGCACTCGTGCACAATGCGCAGCCTTCACACAGACGATCATATGCTTTGTTCTGGTAAAAGCACAAAACTAAATGCACACAAATATGTCCCTGCTCTTGATATACAATCACTGATGAACACCTTTGTTTTTAATAAGAGAAAAAAAATTACACACGGGTGGAATAGAACCTAGGATTTGCGTGACAGAAGTTCTACCGCTAGACTACTAAAGTACACTTCAAGGTTATGCGAATGTATATATTTATTCAGAATCGCGGTACTAATTGTATTTTATTATTAATACGTTTATTATTAATTTATATTAATATAGTCGCTTGCAATGTGGGCAGGGCCCGCGTGCGGTACGGGCCCCAGTGCGGCTGCACTGCCTGCACTGTCTGTAGTTACGCCACTGCCCCCTACCCCTTCACATGAATGCGCGAAACGAAGGGGAAGGGGAAAGTGAAGGGATAAGGGGTAGAATTGGAATTGGTCCTAAGTCTGCTGGTCTGTCAATCAATTTGGAGAAGTGTCCGTTCTGTAGGATGGAGAAGGACGATACGTTCTTGGGGTATCGGGTCACAAGGAACGGCATCCTGCCCAATGAGGAGAAGGTGAAGGCGGTTATTGATTTGTTACTTCAGTAAACACCAGGCAGGTGAGACAGTTCTTGGGCCTAACAAGTTACTATTGGCGATTCATTCACGAATATGCACGACATGCTGATCCTCTTTTCGCGTTCACGAGGTCCAATGTTCCTTTTGTGTGGACACAAGACTGTCAAAATGCTATGGATTTCCTCAAAAGTAAATTGACGTCTGCACCCATCTTGAGATTTTCACAGTTTTCACTTTCATTCTTCATTCACGTTGACGCGTGTGATGCTTTGATGCAGAGGAATGAGGACAGTAGAGACTGTGCAATTGCTTATGCCAGCTGTGCTTTGCACAAATCAAAACGCCTTTACTCTACCCCCGAGAAGGAGTGCCTAGCGGTAATTTGGGCACTTGAGTATTTCAGACCATACATTGAGGGACTGCACGTCACATTTTTTTCTGACCACAGCAGTCTGAAGTGGTTAACAGATGAAACGTATGATTTAATCCAGGCCCTGTTTTCATTATTGTGTTTGTTCATAAAGACAGAAAAGCCCAGTTAAGTTAATAAGTTAGTTAATAGTTCACCCCAAATAAAACATGATGTCATTCACGTTGTTTACTCTCACTGACTCATTCAAACCTCCTACATTTTTTTTAACCACAGATATAGTTCTGTAGAATTTTCCACTTAATTTTTCAACTAAATTCAGCCCCTTTGATGTGAACACATGGTATTGACGGCTCATGTCATGTGACTTTGGCAGCATAAATAGTTGATGAGAATCTCTTCTTGGAGTCAGACTGCCTGATAATTCATCGGTACTTCATCCAGACTTTGATCAGCAACACACTGCAGCAATGAGTTTGCCTTGGAAACGGACAGAGGATTCCACTCCAGATGTTCAGAAGTTCTGCAATATGGTAAGAGACAGACAATCCAACATTTATAGATTGGGAGACTGAAGCAGGCTGTGTCTATTTTCAGTTGCATAGTTCTTAACTAAAATAATATCTATAACACAGAGGCATTAAAAAATTCCTCTGTACTAGTTGTTCTAAAGATGTCCATAAACCAGACTTCAGTTCTATATATAAATACTTAGATATATTGATTTCTGAGGCCGGTTGCATAAACCGCTTAGACTAGTCTTAAAAGTTAGACACCTCATTTTTTTCTGTAAGACTGGTCATAATTTTTTTAAGTCCGTTCCATAAAAATGTAGATTGATTTAATTTGAATCTGAAAGGAGAGACTGATAACCACTTGGTTAACTGCTAGTTAGTCAAACTAGTTCTTAAGACTAAGTCTTAAGTCTTAATGTGGTGACTATGCTTATGCAACTGGAATTGTACTTTACTCGCTATGGCTGCATTTATTGGATTAAAAATACAGTTAAAACTGTAATATTGTGATATTGTGATGCCCAGTTTTACAGACAAGGCTTAAGCTTAGTCCTAGACTAAAGTGCAGGTTTCAGCTGTTTTAACTGAAAGCAACTTGCACTGACACATCTTAAGATATCTTAGTGGCATTGATTTGTATCAAGGTGTACACTAGTAATGTATTTTCTAAGGCACGTTTACTTAAATGTCCAAATTTAACTAAGGCTTAATCCTGGCTTAATCTAAGCCCTGTTTGTGAAACCAGGCCTTAAAATTTTATATTTATACATAAATATTTATATTTATTATTACAGTTTAAAAGATTTTCTATTTTAATATATTTTTGAAATGTAAAATATAAAACATATATATATAAAAAAATAAAATTTCCTGTGATGGCAAGTCTTCAGTGTCACATGATCTTCCAGAAAAAAAATTTCCAGAAAGATTTGCTGTTTAAGAAATATTTCTGATTATTATCAATGCTGAAATCAGTTGTGCTTTTTGATTAATAAAAAGGTTTTTTTAATAAATAAATGCATCTTTTGAGCAATATTGTATATAATATGTAGATCAATGCAAAATGTGTATCTGTTTATTCAGGTGAAGAAAGATTTAGAGGATAAGATTGGACAGAAGTCTGTGTACAACGCCCTCACCTTCAGAGTGACTGATACTGAAATACAGTACATAGCTAAGGTAAATGGGTGTTTTCTTTATTAATTTGTTTAAACAACTTTTCTTGCAGTATCTACTGTCCATATAACAGTGTACAATGTGACGGTCTCTTCCTCTTCTTCTCTCAGGTGAATGTGGGAGAGGATGAATGTGCTCATGTGAAAATCTCTCAGACTCTCCCTTGCTATGGAGAAGAAGTGAAGCTGGTTGATTATCAGTTTCCTAAAAAAATGTTGGATATAATCGAACCCTTCTGAAGACTTCTGAACACATTATTCTGTCCTCACAGAGCGACTCATACATGAAAAACACGTTTCAATAAAGTCCTGAAGCATAACTGTCTTTGGTGTTGCCGTCTTTAATGTTTGATCTTTTCACTGTCAAACTGAAAATGCTAAGAATAAAATAGGAATATTTAAATATAAAATGACCAAAAATAAAAAATATAGAGCTGTCCTTTAACAAAGTATCCTTATTCCCATGCTGTAGCTTGCCATTTTCTGTTTTACAAGCCTTTAGAAGTGGTGTGCGTTTAAAAAGTGTGAATCCACTGCTCAGGGTTTCTTAAATTAAAATACCTGAGGTGTGTTGTCAATAGTGAAGCCAGTATGAAAACTCCTTTAATATAGCACCATCTTGTGGCACATTTCTCACTAAATGTCCTACATATAATGTTACAAGTTATTGAAATTACAGGCTGCTGAATTTTCATTGGTTGTGGGAAACCAAATGTGTTCATGTAGTGCATGTAAATTCTTGCTGCAAAAAACCCCCCAAAAAAACTAGTGTGAATGTGAATTTATTTCATTTTGGAAATCCCTGTTATTATACCGTTCTTCCATTCAGTTTGGTCAGTGCTTGATTATGAATTCAAACTTTTGATATTTTTTATTTGTTTTTATTTTTGTATTTTCTGTTGTATTTTTGTATTTTAATTTTAGTTTAAAATGTTGGCAATTTTGTTGTGTGTTTTTCTCATTTTTATTTTTTAAATAGTTTTTATGAAGCTTTATTTTAGTTTTAGTTATTTTACTACATTTTTAGCTGGGTCCATTGCCATGGAGTTCATGCTGACAAAAATCATATTAAAATAATATAATGGCATCAAAACAACCAAACCATCATAAACATTTGCAATGCAATATTTATTATTATTAATATTATTATTATTATTTATTAGTAGTAGAAGTGGTAGTAAAATTAGTATTATTTTTTTACTAACAATATATAGACACATCTGAGTTATTATAAATAATATATTTTTGGTTTGTGTTGTCATTTTAACTTTCAAGTGCTGTATACATTACAGTCATCGTCTTC